GTCCAGAACATCAGAGCTTAAGTTTAACAATTTTAGGTTAAATTTGTCAAAGTCACTAAAAATGTGACAAAATTAACTTTTCATGCCCCAACAATTTCAAGATAGTGTGTAAAAATTAGCATAGGCTGCTTTATTACCTATATAAATCAATCCAAACTACAAAAAATATATTTTTATGTGATGACGATTACCTAACACTTATAATAACTGATGTGACAAAGTAAACATGTCTTGCCCCTATTTTGAAGATCTATAACTCTATTAGAATTCAACATTCTTTCAGAAACGATTGGAAGAATATTGTCCAGAACATAAGAACTCAATTTTTAAAATTTAGATTAATTTGTCAAAGACATTGAAAATGTGACAAAAATAACTTTCCCTGCCCCAACAGTATCAAGATAGTGTGTTAAAATTGGCATAGGATTTATTACAGGTATATTAAAGTATTAATCGATCCAAACTACGAAAAATATCTTTTAATCTGATGACGATTACCTAACTCTTATAATAACTGATGTGACAAAGTAAACATGTCTTCCCCCTATTTTGAAGAACTATACCTCTATTAGAATACTATGTAACTTTATCATCAAAAAAATTTCGATAAACTAGTTATTTTGCCAGCAAGGAGCTAACAGAGTTATAATAATTTTGTGTGACGAAATTACCCTATTTTTGACCATGTAGCGGTAGTTTAATTGTGACACTGTTAACATATTACCACCTGATAATGATTTATGTGACTGGTGCATGTAGGGCCTGTCGTGATATCATGTATCACGACAGTACAGCTGTACTTACTGTACAGCTGTACTTACACCCACTTTCACAAGCATGCAAGCTCACCTGGTCCAAAGAGTAGGAAACGGAGAACGAGCTCTGGTGACGTCATAGTCACGTGACCTCAGGCTCATAATCACGTGACCTCAGACCCAATCAATTGGGTTCTGGCCTGTTCAGCCCCCTGTCACCCGATCTTGAGGTAACGTACGACAACTCGTTGACCCAATCAACGTCTGGAAGGCTGCAAATTTTCACATGCTAAACTCACAACGGTTTTTCGGAGTTGTGCGAGATGACGATACATAGAGGCCGCAGAATTATGAGGACTACCAGATCTTGGTGGAACCTAAGCGATCCATGATATCACGACAGGCCCTATGGTGCATGGTACTAGCAGTGTTGTTTGATCCATAGTATGTATAATATAAGGGGTTTAAGCTGGTATATCATTATTTGTTCAATTTCACACATGTTCAGATATTATCAAGATTATGTGACAAAGTAAGCTTGGTTGTGCCTTCTGTGTTTTAATTCCTTACGACTATATGATATAATAACAATTCCCAGCACTTCCAGGCCATCAAATAAACTTACACTACTCAGCATTGCTTATCAGGGTGCCCTAAACATTCATCACATATTTTCTTTAATGTGTGACAGAGTAAACCTGAATGCACCATCTAACGAAAAAAGTCGTCAAATATGTAGGTAATGGTCATATGTACCCATCCAATCAACTGGACACTCAAAAATTTGGTCAAAAATGGCAGCAAGGGGTCCATATTTACTCCGTCACATGTTTATAGTGTGACAATGTAACCATTTCCGTGCCGGCCGTATTTAAGCGATATCTTATCACCTGATTAAGATATCGTTATGTGACAAAGTTAGCCTAGAGGATGAGACGATTATCCTAACCATCAAGGGTTTAAGTAATTTCATAGTGTGACAAAGTCAACTACACTGTGCCTTTTAATAGGGTCACTTATATTTACCAATATCCTCAAACTCAAATGAACGTGTCCATATAACAGTAACATTATATATTTGTAGGGTTCATGTTGTCATATCGAATGTGCACCCTTGTCTTGGAAACGTTATGAAATTTCTAAAGAATAAACAATATGAAATAAAAAGGCACGCACCGATGTAGAACATTATTGTAGCTTGAGCACATCTTATTCTAGATATCTCCTGATCAGTTGAGGGATTGAAAGACTGAGCTCTCTGCAGTGCTGACTGAAGCATGCTCCTCCCTGCATATTTAGATTTGAAGGGTTCTGTAGGAGGATCCTCTTTGGACAGCTCCTCAATTACCCTCCTTGATTCGGCCACGTGGGAACAGATTGACAGGAACCATTCGCTTATGTTCTGAGGAGCTTTAGCAAGCTCATCCAGGGACGGCATTTAGTCAGCAGTAGTACTTTCTCTAGCTATAAAAGGTAGTTTTATTATTATAACTCTGATGCAATAATTATTCGCGATAACATGAATTGTGATTTAAACTATGTGTCTGATGTGATAAATATGCTTTGAAAAAAATAACAAAGTTCAAAAGAAATTAGATTAGACTAAGGTTAGCTAATTTTCACAAGACAGTAACTGAATGCACGAGAATTGTCAATAATATAACCAATAGTAATTTAAAGAATGCTTTACTCAATGTTAGGAAACCTTATTTTTTCAATAATTTTTCTGCCTTCAGAGCTTTAAGTCACAACTTAATTCTCTATCACATTATATTTATAGAAACAGAAATTCCAAGAAATAAAGTACAAAGCAAACCCGGAAGTACGAGAATTCTCCACAGAAAAGCAAAATAAACGACCTGTAAGCTCAAAGAGAAAAGACGGTGCAATGACAGCAAAGCATGTAATACACTGTTAGAACTACCCAACAGATCACCTCTATATATATTTATATACAGTAAGTATCATTGCATTATGTCCATGTTAGGCCTGATTTACCTCGCTAATTAAAGCTATGTGACCATTATGTATTTCCTACACCCGTACGATCCAAACATTCTAACATTACTCTGAAGCACCAGTTACGAAAGCAACAGACGTAAGTGGTATGAGGTTAGCTGATGATGCTATCAGTTTGTAATTGTGGTACAGCAGAATGGGAGTAACAGTAATTACAGTATATTCTTAGTAATTAGTACAGTAATTACAGTACATTCTTAGTGCATGCACTGTGTGGGAATATTATTGTGTAACTTTAAAAGCTCTTAAATTATTACAATAAGTTACTTTGTACTGTGTAGTACTTACAACATTGGGGAGTTTCAATTACGCAATTAACGGTTCACCTTAGCCAGTTTGTAGTCAACATCATTGTTTAAGCTTATGTTTTATCGATTAAAAACTTAATTGTTAACAATTATACATGAATGAGAGGCTATGGTTTGGTTGATGATTGCATATTAATAACAGATAATTTATTGTTCCAGTAACTAATACTTGTTCAGATACCTTTCTGTAAATGTACATTAATAACTGCATTAAAGCAATAAGCTAGATTTTTGATAAAAACCAACGCATTACAGAAGACAGAATACCGCGCCGGAAATGAAAAATTATTATCAACGCAACCTGATCCTAAAACATAACTACAAAATCGCAAGCACACATAAATACAGGGTGGCCAATAAGTGACTACCCACACGCAACCTCTTAATAACTCACGTAATTCGTCTCCAAATTGCACCAAAATTTCAGAGATTATAGATATGGGTCAAACTTAGATTTCCTGAAAGTTTCGTAAGCCACGCCCAATTACAGTGGGCGTGGCGTGACACTCCCTCTTTTTCACTATTGTCTTCATAAAATGAGAACGCTTTAAGCTAAGAACTCCAAATTTTTTGCACACATTTGGCTTGATAATTGAAAACCTTTCCCAAAGTTTCAAGTTCATTGGTTAAAATATGGCTAAGTTATGACCATTTCAAAACTCATCAGATACGTGATCCGAGCACTCAGTCAGTGATCTCATCACTTGGTTAATGGCCTGTTTGGCTCACATGCACCGCTTGATTGGTTGCAGCCTGCTTATGGGCCGGCCTATACAGCTGACAGCACCTAAAACGCTATCACACGAATTTATGGTGGTGTCACCATTTCAGGGCTTGTTAGCCCTGCTAGTCACAGGTTCCTTACAATCAATAAAAATGGTTCACTATCCTCCCTTTACTGCAGAACAACGATCTTGTTCGTCTACCTGAAGAAAGAAAATGGGGAGTTCTACCCTCAGATTAAACGACAATTTCAGATGAAATTCAACCGACCACCCCCTTGCCGGAAAAGCTGCTTTGACATTCATCACAAGATCAAGTTTACGTTTTCTGCACATGATCGGCGAAGAGTCGGCAGAAGACGAACTGCGAGAACTGTAGAAAACATCACGATGGTTGTTGGTGACGTGATGGACACACCTAAGATTGGCACCCGGAAACGAGCTCCTGCCTTAGACATCAGCAGAACAACCCTTCAGCGAATCCTAAAGCAAGACCTTTCTAACCGGGCCTACAGAATCACAAAGAAACACAAACTTTTGGACCGTGATTTCCAATCGAGGATAGATTTCGCCAACACATTCCTTGAACATCTTAATTGAAATTATTGAATTGTTTTTGTGTGGGAATTTTTATTAGTTGATTTCATTTATTGATTTATCCTTAAAATTTGTGTTTTCCTTTCTAGCAAAGACATCATCGGTATCCAATCAAAGCCTAATGAACCTCATTAATACACGCTAACACCTTACTCTTGATCAGATTGGGTGACGAGATCACTAATTGAGTGCAAATATCACTGACTGAGTGCTCGGATCACATATCCGATGGATTTTAAAATGGTCATAACTCAGCCATATTTTAACCAATGAACTTGAAACTTTTGGAAAAGTTTTCAATTATCAAGCCAAATGTGTGCAAAAAATTTTGAGTTCTTAGCTTAAAGCGTTCTCATTTTATGAAGACAATAGTGAAAAAGAGGGAGTGTCACGCCACGCCCACTGTAATTGGGCGTGGCTTACGAAACTTTCAGGAAATCTAAGTTTGACCCATATCTATAATCTCTGAAATTTTGGTGCAATTTGGAGACGAATTACGTGAGTTATTAAGAGGTTGCGTGTGGGTAGTCACTTATGGGCCACCCTGTAGTTATAACTAGTATAAATACTATTATTTAAATACTAAAATAGAACAGTAATTGCTGCTCTGAGATGTCACTATTTTCACGGATCAGTAACACTGTGATCTGACTCCAAGGATCGTTTCATAACAGTTATTCTTCTCGTCCTATTGACTTTCTGCCCACAAATTTCAGCAACGTTAGGCAAAATTTCATGAGTGTATTTGTACCTTATATCATCAGACATGATGTACACAGAAAAGCGAGGAATCAATACATCTGCATAATTACCTTCATCAAGCTGTAGTCTCATTACTGCATCTGATAAAAGGGACAAACCACTAACAAGGGCACCACAGAACTTGATACTGTCAATGTGCGGTTTAATGTAACCATCTTCAGAAAGATCAAGTACATGTGTAGCGGAAATAGAACTGTCTTTACGCCCAAAAACATGCTCCTCAAATTTGTTCATGATGGTGGTGTTAGGTGTGTTCCACTCCAATTTTTCCATTTCCCGGTATAATACTATTGCTCCATCCCAGTGGCCAGAGTTGTATTTCCTTCTTAGGAACCTATGATTCACCTCACCAAGTATTTGTTCCTCCTCTTCTTCTGTGAGGAAATTTTCTTTCAGATTAAAGCCTTGTTTTAGTTGAGATTCGACAAGCTCAGATGAGGCTTTATAAAGAAGATTACGGGATTGAATATATGATTTCAGGCAGTGATTACAAGAGTTTGTGTTGAGCTTAGAAAGCAATCTCCCAGCTAGATACATGGACCTGAACACGGTTAAATTAATGACAGGGAATAGAACTAACCAGGTTTGTATATAATATTTACAAATATTCAAATAATCAGAATCGAGAATTGATTTTTCATATTGATATAAATAAATAAATACATTCTAACATTTATTACACGCTTCGACATTAAAATATATCCAATAAAGATGTACATTTAAGTCTTTCAAGCGAGATTTAGTGTGGAAATATCAGGATTATGCACTTCTTCATTACTTTATTAGTTCACAATTTATGGACAAATATTGGTATAAAATTACCAATTTAATTATGCACTTTCATATCAGTTCAGACATTATAGACAAATATTAGGAATATTGTCAAAAGCTAGGTGGAAATAAAATGTCTTTAGGGCATTTTAAAAACATTCTACTGATGATAATGAACCCACTAAGTAGATATTCAATCATGAGTTTGAATATGGGTATAGTTGGAATATTGGTAGGGTTGGAATATTGGTAGGGTTTGAATATTAGTAGAGTTTGAATATGGTAGAGTTTAAATATGGTATAGTTTGAATTGTATTACAAATATTGTTATTTTTGTGAGAATGGGGCTTTTAAGAAAGACAAAATTTGGTTTTATAAAGGGGCAGTTGTGATGTTGAATTGTATAATGTTGATTGATTATATTTTTGACTGGTGTTTTTTTTTGACATATCAATATGATTATAATATACATTGTTGATTTTGGCTTCAGTTAAATAATAATAATAATAATTTAAACTTTTATATTATAGTGGCACAAAAACAGCTCAAAAACAGCTCAGGACACAATAAAACCTGAAAAAGCAACCGACATTTATATTCTAAACCAGGAATCGACCGGGACATGATTTCAAGCCTGACCGGGACCAAGAATCCTGAATTAACCGGGACCGGGATCATAAATCAGCAATTGTGACTTGACCGGGACCTGGACCGGACCGGGATAGCTCAAAATTGCCAATCCCGGTACCGGGATTCCCGGTACCGGGAATTCCGGTCGATTACTGGTTAATTCATGATCATAATTTATTACTCAAACTTGTTTAGCAATTGTAAACATTGTTTTATTTGGCTCAGAGGATGTTTAAAGCTGAAATTCACAATGAATGAAAGGAAAAACTTAAAATCACAGTGAATGAAATTATGTAAAAGATCCTGGTAAAAATCCCGGCAAATTTGAGTGATTGACCGGGACCGGGACCACGAATCCCGAATTAACCGGGACCGGGATCATAAATCAGCATTTGACCGGGACCGGGATAGCTCAAAATTGCCAATCCCGGTACCGGGAATCCTGGTCGATTCCTGTTCTAAACCAGGTAATGGTAAATAGACTTGATACACTAAATAAACGATAATGTGTATGCATTTTCCAGTAAGAACAATTAAGGAAAACTAGGATTGAAAAATGTTAAGATTTTGATTGAAATAAATTTTCGTGCACATACAGAATGAATGGTTAATAATTTAATATATATGTAGACCAAGGTCTGTGCACGGGATGCTTCCTGGAAGAATCCAGTTCTTTTAGCGGGGCACCCTACCTAAAGCCAAATTGAGATATAATAATCATATTCCTAAGAAATAATCAGAAATCGAATACCAATCAAATAATATGATATATATGAGTAGTAACCATATTTACTATGCAAAATGCCCCAACCACATAGTGTAAATTTATATAGAATTCAAATTCCATATCATCATTAAACCTCAATACCTAGTCAATATAATAGCCCAAGCAAAATTGAATAACTTCTTATATACCTTACTGTCATACTACAAATTAATTAAACATTTGAAATCTGTTGACCAGAGAATAAATTCTAAGCCTAATGCAAGTGAAATAATTTAGATGCAATAATGAACGCCTAATGTGAGTATCATTTGTCAATGTCCTTGTAAAAAAGTCTGTACAAGAGATATGAGTAACTAATATAGAAGAAAAAACAGGAAGTTGTCGTCTGTTGTAAAATAAATAAAATATCTAGAATATAAATTAGAATATAAAATAACATTCAGTCAATGTGTCGTCAATAAACTGTACAATTATCAAATGTTAAAACTGGGTGATACAGTCACCAAAAATAAATACTAAGTATGATAAGTTAATAAATTAAATGTGGTCTATAAAACTACCACTAAGTATAATAGGTCAATAAATTAAAAGTGGTTTATAAAACTACCACTGTGGGAACCCCTTCTCCAGTTAAAACATGTCAGTCATGTGCAAAATCAATCAGAATGGTAAGGTGGTAAAAAAGGGAATATCTTTTCGATACATCAATTATATATGCCTCAGATTTAAAAGAATTAGAAGTTAATTAGTTATCGTCGACTATGATTGCAGTGTAAAATTTTTCATATGAATTGTCGACGGTATAATTAGGGTCTGTTGTTATAGATGATAGTAGCTGTTTCTTATACGAATCACTAAAGCTTTTAACATCGGGCAGATTTCGTAGATCTGTTGGAACATTATTCCAACATTTTGCCCCCAAGTATTGAAAGTTTTTATGTGATGTTGATCTATTGACATAAAGGTTGCAGCTTTCGCCGCTCCTACTACCTCCTGATATGTAACTAAATTTGTTCATAAAGTTTGTAGGACAATTGTCATGGATGATTCTAAACATATAATTTGACAGATGGAGTTGTCGTCTAAGATGGAGTGGTAACCATTTCATGTCTCTATAAACATTAAGGCTGCTCTCTGTTTTTGGAACGTTGAGAGCTATTTTGGCTACCTTTTTGTACAGAGTGTCAAGTTCAGCAAGTTTTGTCTTGCCAGCTCTACAATAGATCGTGTCTAAATAATCGAATTGTGGCAACATGAGTGCATTGGCAAACATTTTCCTATATTTAATGGGTAGCAGTGCTTTACTTCTATACATGGCACCAATTCTCTTCATGACCTTCCTAATAATATAATCTACATGGCTTTTGAAGTTTAATTTACTATCTAGAATGAGGCCAAGATATTTTGTCTCTTTGCACTCCTTGATTGTGAAAGTTACCTCATTACAATCAATGGTTATTTCATCATGTTGGTCAACAGAATCAAACAATAGGAATTCAGTCTTCTTTTCATTGAGTGATAATTTATTAACACTGAGCCATTTAAAGATTGTCATAAGTTCTATTTTCATGTTTATAAATGTGCTTCTGCAGGTTTGATCAAAGAATAGTGCACCATCATCTGCAAATAGAAAGGGCTTAGATAGGTTACAGGCATAAATGATGTCATTTATGAAGATACTAAATAATATAGGCCCAATGATGCTTCCTTGTGGTACACCACTCAGAACTTCTAAAAATGAGCTTAGATTGCCATTGATCCTAGTGCATTGATATCTACAAGATAAGAAGTTTTTAAACCAGGTTAAAGCAATGCCACCAATTCCATAATATGCCAATTTTTGAAGCAATATTTCATGATTCACTGTGTCAAAGGCCTTCTTAAGATCAAGAAAGATGATTCCTGGTTTATAAGACTTAGATTTACTCATATATATTTCGTCCATCAGATCGTACATCAGATAAGTTGTGGAGTGATTTTTCCGAAAGCCATATTGATGCCGGATGAAAAGTTTGTTCTCTTCCATGTAATCAGTGAGTTGCTTGCCGACAAAATATTCTATAAGTTTTCCTACAAGTGGAAGGATGGATATTGGCCTGTAATTATTAGGATCATCTTTCATTCCTGCCTTATGGATGGGAGTTACTCTAGCTTTTTTACAAAGGGTTGGTACAACACCTGTATTAAGGCTCAGATTGACAATGTGGGTCAGTGGCTCAACTATGTGTGGTACAGCTTGCTTAAGTAAAAATAGAGGCACATTGTCATATGAGGCCTTGTCATTCTTGAGCGTTTCGACATACATTAGGATATCAGTTTCATTTATTTCTTGGAATCTATCAAATGAGATATTAGAAGTTCTAGGAGGTAAAAAATCAGTAAAACTAACTCTTTCAATATTGGGGGCCTGATTTTGTAATCTTGATCCAACATTTGCAAAATGAAAGTTAAATAGCTCAGGATCATTCTCATTGATAGTTTGACAATTAGTTGTACCAGGGGTCATATTTGATGCCAGTTTGATAGTTTTCCATATCCCTTTAAGATCATTCTTGGCACTTTTAACTTGTAGATCATCGATTACATTAGCCTTTTTGCAGGTTTTAGCTAATTTATTTCTAATATTTCTCTGAATCTTGTAGCAATCCCAGGCCTCATTACACTTTATACATTTGCTACATGTACCACATTCATTGCAATTTCCATTGTCTCTCTTATCCTTCTTTTTACGGAATTTCTTTAGAAGAAAATGTGTATGATTAATGGCATTTAAAAGTTCAGTAGAAGGTTTATGTATGAACTTTTCATGCCTTTCTATGGTCTTGCAAGGGAAGAAGGTTGCATATGCCTGTTCAATATGATGACAAAGGCCAGCAGTGATAGCTTCAACATCTGTACTTTCCAATAGTGGACTGTAATCAGAACAGGTATCTAGATAGTCTAAGAATTGTTTAACAATACAACATTATGAGCACGTTTGAAAAGAAATGTTTTCAGATAAACTTTTAAAAAGTCCAATGTTGTACAATTCTTAATTTCAAATGGTAGTTCATTCCATAATTTAGGGCCAACTTATGTTATGTTATGTTGCCCCACTAAAAGAACAGGATTCTTATAGGAAACATCTTGGAACATAAGCACCATTTTATTTCTAAATTATTGAATATTTGAATCCCTGCTGGGAAGTTTAATAATTTCATTCAATTCGATTGATTGATTAATTGGAATTAATTCACTCATATGATAACTATTTTATACCAATTTTAAAAGAGGTTTCTGTTTGATATTCATGCCACAAATTGGAACATATACTGTAGGAATTCTAAGGTTGATCTCCTTACTCTTAAGACATGTTAGATTGGTCCCCTTAAAGGTGGTTTGATTTCAAGGTAACAAGGTTTCCATGATT